GGGCCCGGAGAAACCGCGGCAGCCTTTTTTATAGCCGGCTGCTCGCAGCTCATGGCCAATGATGGCTCTTCAAATCTCCTGCCGCCACAGACCAACCCATCATAGGTAAGTATGCAAATATATAACATTTTTGATTATATATTGGTTCCTTTTTCCTTTCCCCATTCCTTTGTTTCCCTTCTTCATGTCTGCAACATTCGTATTTTTTATTAATTTAAACTGTCAGGCTATGCTTGAAATCTAGAGAAACAGATGCTTATACTGATACCTTTTCCCATTAAGTTTAATATTTTAAAAGTGGGTGGGAGGGTCATGAAGAAAGAAATGAGAGCCCATAGCAGATGGTAAGATCTCCATAAATGCTTCCAAATCAAATTTCCTGCTTAGATGAGCAACAAGGATACTTTGCTGTTCTGTTTACGGTGACATGCTGCCTTTGCATATTAATCTAATTTCTGATGAAGTGACAACCAGCAGAGAAAAATAGTGGGGTGAAACTGTGCACAGAATCTATAAATGAAAAACAGCTGCTATTTTGGCCCATTTCAACAACATCTGCTGGAAACCTGGCCTATATAAATTCCATTAAATAAATGAAAAAGTTCTATTTCTGTTTTACAGGTGTCAACTGTCTTATCCCCCAAATAGACTGCAAAATATAAGATGAAATTGCAACTTAAAACCTGAAATCTAGAGGAGAAGTTGGCATAGAGGCCAACTTAGAAATCTGGCAGTATAGTGTAGAGTGAGAATCGCAAAAACAAGTTTACTTGACAGAAAAATCAGTTGACTTAAACTTCCTACCAGTAATGCCAACTTAGCAAAGGGGAAACTATAGGATGTTTATTTTTGAGAGCCAAAGCTAAACCAGAAACAAACGAATAAGTAGAAAATATAGGAGTGACCATCAAAATGACCATCAGAAAACCAACAGTTCTTGGTGGCTAAGAAGTCAGATTTGATTTATCATGTTGATGGGATTATAAAAGAAATCCTGGTAGGAAGGACTCTAAAGCAAGAATGAGAAGAAGCAGAGTTGAGATTGGGTGGCATTATAGTCACAGATCTGGGTTACATAAAAAAAATTATTGAAGATAAGCCAGGATGGTTGAGTTTAACATAAATGAAGAAATGAACATTTTTCATAAGGATCTAAAAAAATAAACAAAAAGAACATTTTCTTTTGGAATTCAAATTTGTATGCACCAGCTTTCTGTATCTATATACCTGTTAACAATTAGCAGTAATAGATACCACTTTTTTCTGTTTTCCTTGTGTAAAAGGTTTAGTTTTGCCTATGTTTGTTTGATCCTTCTTTCCCTTTTCAATTTAGTTCTCTCATTTTGTTCTACAGCACCTCACCCAACTTGCTTTTTCTCCATAATGAAGGAGAGCCCACTATAGGTCTTTAATTATAGGAAAACTTAAGTAATGCTGGCCTTCCTATTACTAGTCTATATATTCCTCATCTCAAGTCTTTTTCTCATGAGATATGTATTTGTTTGTGTGCCAGAGAACAGGAGAGACACCTATGGTTATAGACAGAAAAAAATAACAAAATAGAAGTGAGTTAACATATTTAATATTAAATTGTATATTTCATTCTATTGCTTTTATTTTACTTTAAAGAATCATAGAATATATATCCTGGAAGGTACATTGGAAATTATCTAATTCAATCCCCAACCTGATATAGGAATCCACTCTTATAGGATTCTTGATACATTGCTACACAAGAGATGCCATCTTCTCCAAAAGCAGTCTGTTCCATTGTTGAAAAGATTTTATAGTAAGAAATGTTTCCTGATGTTCAACTCTAGCCTGTTTATATATTTTTAATATCCTCAAGTAATTCTTGACTACTTAAGATTGCCTGGAATAGTCCCTGCAGTTTTCCTGGGAGGATTTGCAAAGTGTGTTCCATTGCCTCCTTCCTGGGGCTGGGAGAGTCCCACCCCCTTCTCAAGCAGGAGATAATTCCTCCTCCTCCTCCTCCCAGAATAACAAGAGTTGGAAGGGATCTGACCTTGGAACTCAAGACTCCTGGCTTATAGCCTGGTGCCTTAACCACTGTAACAAACTGGGTCTCAACTCTAATCTACTTCCTTGTAAATTTAAACCCATTGTTTCTCATCTTCTGTTGTCTTGGCTTAGCCTAGCTTATCTTTTGGAAAAGCCTTGAACAATTCTGCTCCATCTTCTATAAGGGAGCCCTTCAGATAGATATCTGAAGATTGCTATCACTTTCTCCATAGTCTTCTCCTCTCCAGGATAAACTGCCTGCAAACTTTCAACCATTCTTCAGGTGCCTTAACATCCTGGTTGTCTCCTCTATCAATGTCTTTTCTGAAATATAACGGCCAAAACTGGATGAAGCATTCTAGATAAGATCCAGTGCAAAACAGAGACTCACCTTGACACTTTATTTCTATTGATGGAGTCTACTATTGCTTTTTTCAGCTTCCAGCTTGATCACATTGTAGAGTCATATGTTCAGTTTATGATCAATCAAAGCATTCCAAATGTTTTCACATGCTGCTACTGCCTGATGTGGTTTCTCCCATCTGACACTCGAGTCTGTGAGCTTTTTTTTCCTAGTCAAAGGAATTTGTTATTTGTTGAAATTCCTCTTGTTCTAAACAGTCTTCCTAGCTATAATTCTGCCTAATCTATAGTCCCCACTGTGTGTTACTTTTATTTACTGGGTAGACATATTTTTGGCTAAACTAATAAAACAGGTGATATCCAACCTACTAATTTCCTCTTTCCACTGAACCTAATACAGACCATTAGCCCCTTGAAGGCTCACCAATATAATTGATCTGATCTTGGGGGTTTAAACTAATTCATGATGATCAGGCATCAGTGGAGCACTGTTTCCTTTGGGAAGAAGGAAAAAGCAAAGTTGAAGAACTTTGTCTTCCCCATCTGTTACATTTTCATATGTATTGTCTACTCCTGTAAGCTTAACTTCCTTTTTTACACTGCCAGACTTTTCTTTCTGCAGATATTATCTGCTTGCTGCAAAACCTCCTTGGAGATTATGCTCATCTTCTATTTCTTATGCATGTATCAGTCTTTTGAGGTAGAACAGACCAGGAAAACAACCCCACAAGTTTGACTGGAACTATATTTTATTGATACTGACTACAGTAACAGAAACTTGACGTCCTGATTACATTTTCCCTTCTTTCCCTCTTAAACCCTGGCGAATTAGGGCAGAGCCATTCTGAGGTTTTCTAAAAACTTTTTCTTTGTTTCCTGGGCTTATGACAGGTTTTTGTATATCTTTTTATATCTGGCTCTGCCTAGTTTCTCCAGACTAATCTCTATGGCTTTCTACAGTTCTGTCCATTTATTTCATATCTTAGCCTATAGCTCCTTATGTGTAGGTTTATCGACTCTCCTATTTTATTTCTTTTGATTGGAATAGTAGATGATTGTACTTCCAATATATTATTTATGAAGAGTTCCCTACCCTCCTACGTTCCCTTTTACTTGAGGATTTATGTCCATGGGATTCTACCTACTACTTCTGTAAGCTTGTATGAAGCTGGTTCTCATGAAATCTAAGATATGGTATTTGTATACAGCTATGTCCCAGTCCCTTTTGTCCCAAAGTTCCTACTGCTTTTAACTCTTAAACCAACTCCTCCCTATTGATGAGGGTCAGTTCATTGTATCTTCTTCAAACTTTCTAGAAAATGAAGCAATCAACAGGACTACTGAGAAATTTTGTATATATACTGCAGTCTGGTATGAATTAATTTTTCTAACAAATATCCAAATAGTTGGAATCTCCTGTTATTACTATGCCTTCCTTCTGAAATCTGTAACCTGGCTCAGAAATAGACAATCCAGATCATGCATCTGCCCCACAATGATAAAAGCAATAATACTATTGTTTCTCAGTCCATGTGTTAGATCTGGGAGGATGGTTCAAGAACGGAGGCAAGACTCAGATAACAACAACAGCTCTTTATTAGTGACTTCAGATCTGAGCAAAGAATCCCAGCCGCAGCAGCCCCTTATATAGGGCTGGCTGCGACTAGGCAGCCAATGAAGGCGATTTGAGTTTGCCGCTCTTGGCAGGGCCAATCGCAGCAGCCCGTTTACTAGCCAATCGCATCAGTCTGCGGTGACCAATCACGATCTGCTATTCGCGGGCCAATCAGAGTTGCAGGCTTTCGAGCCTGCTAGTCTGGAACACCCCTCCCCTCTCAGTTCCGTTTAAGGGGTGGGGTTATATAGTCTCGCAGGTAGGCAGGTCTTCGTACCTGTCTACCTGACTTACGTAATTCCAATTGTCTGTTTTCAAATTCGGGTTCAGATGGACTGCTTGCTGGATCTAGTTGGAAAGGTGAACCGGTGCTATAGTTGGGACTCTCTCCTGATGCCCTCGGGGTGATTGAGTCCTCAGCTTCGTTGTTACCGCTATGGTTCCCTGGACTCTCTGAACCTGCTTGGCTGCTGCTTCTTGGTGAAGTGTTCGTCTGCCCAGGTTCAACTACGGCTGGTGAGTATTGCAAGCTATGGTGTGGTGATCTCGGGGTTAGTTCTGAAGGAACAGGTGTTGGTTCTATTTCTGGGCTCTCGGCTTCCCCTCACCCCCTGGTGTCGATGCTGGGGTCAGGGATGGAAGTTGTGGTCAGTCTGGAGCGTAGTTGGTCAATGTGGCATTTCCACACTCTTCCATCAGTGGTCAGTAGACGGTAGGAGCGGGGACCCTTGACTTGAGTTATTTGAGCAGGAATCCAGAGGGGATCCCCTGAAAATTTTTTTGCAAATACAAGGTCTCCTACCTTAAAGGCACGATGCTTGCTGCTGGAACCCAGGGGCTTTTCCGGGGTGTAGGCAGGGTGTAAGCGGTCTAGAGGCGATCTGAGTTTCCTGGCCATGAGGAGTTCAGCTGGGCTCTTGTTAGTAGTGCTGTTAGGTGTGATGTGCTGGAGAAGCAGCATTCTAGTGACTTTATCATGGATGTTACCTTGTTCCATTTTCTGTAGGGTTTTCTTTGTGAACTGAACTATTCGTTCAGCCCTACCATTCACCGCTGGATGAGCCGGCGATGTGAGTGCATGTCGGATGCCCTGTTCAGCTAGGTATTGTTCGAAGGCTAAAGCAGTAAATTGGGGCCAATTATCAGAAACCAGGACATCGGGTAGGCCGTGTGTGGCAAAGAGTCTGTTTAATTTCTTGATGACTGCCTCTGTAGTGGTTGTTTTCATTTTATTGACCTTGAGCCAGTTAGAATACGCATCTACAGTTATTAGGAAAGTGTGTCCTTTAGTAGGTCCCACAAAGTCAATATGAATGCGCGACCAGGGACCTCTGGGTGTTTCCCATTCTGCTGGTGGAGCTTTTGGTGGGGCTGAGTGGTTTTCCTGGCATCTGTTACAGGAGGCAACCCAGGATTCAATTTGTTTGTCCATATCTGGCCACCAGGCGTAGCTTCTTGCCAGTGCTTTCATACGCATGATGCCCGGGTGTCCATCGTGTAACATTTGAAGGACTTTTTTTTGTAGTTTAGTTGGTATGACGACTCGGTCTCCCCATAAAACGCACCCTCTTTGTGAGAAGAGTTCTGTCTGTCTGTCTGTTTTTGAAAGGTTTAAAGGTTTCCTTGGGCTTGTATTCTGGCCATCCCCTCTCCACTCAGCCAAGGATTCGTGCCAAACATGAGTCTTTTTTGGTTTCAAAGGTGATGTCCTGGGCCATTAGTGGAGGTGAGGGAATTGTCTCGATTTGTAGTATTGGTAGCGTGGGAGCTGGGTCATCCTGCAGTTCAGGTAGTGGAGAGCGGCTTAAGGCATCAGCGTGAGGAATAGATTTTCCAGGGCGATATCTTAGTTGATAGTCGTAGGCAGCTAGGAATTCCAACCATCGCATCATTCTGGGGGAAAGAATGTGTGGGGTAGGTTTGTCGCCCACCAGAATGCCAAGCAATGGTTTATGATCTGTGATAATGGAAACTGATCTCCCATATACATATTCATGAAACCTTTTAATCGCAGACACAATAGCAAGGATTTCCTTATCTAGGTGGCTATAGTTTCTTTCTGTCTTTGACAAAGTTCCCGAAAAAAATGCAATTGGTGCTTCTGAACCGTTTGGTAGGACGTGGCTCAGAATGGCCCCCACCCCAAAAGGTGAGGCGTCACAAGTAACAGTCAATGGGAGTGTCTCATTATATTGTATTAGTACTGCATCAGAGGTGAGGAGGTCCTTTACTTGCTGGAAAGCATGTTCCTCCCGTCGTCCCCAAATCCAGGAGGCCCTTTTATCGAGTAGTCTATGAAGGGGTTCAGCAACAGTCGCCTTCTGAGGTAGGAAAATGTTATAAATTTAATGAGTCCCAGGAAGGCTTGAAGGTCAGTTTTGGTTTTGGGTCTTGGAGCATTTTTGATAGCTGCCAATTTCTTTTCTGTAGGGTGGATTCCTTGTTTGTCAAGAAGGTAGCCAAGAAATTCTACCCTTTCTGTGCATAACTGGCACTTTTCCTTCTTAACCTTGAGGCCAGCATCTTTGAACCTTTGTAGGACTGTTCTGAGGCGTTTCTCTAATTGACTTTTTGTTGGGGCTGCTATCAGTGTATCATCAAAATAGGGCACGACCCCTTTTATGCCTTGCGATATTCTCTCCATCAGGCTTTGAAAAATGTGACCAATCACGATCTGCTATTTGTGGGCCAATCAGAGTTGCAGGCTTTCGAGCCTGCTAGTCCGGAACACCATGAATCCTTACTCAAATGCTTTCTGACTGGCCCCAAACTGCTCCGATTCATGGATTTCTACACCTGGTGGATTTCCTTCCATCCATTCTCCTTTTTGCATAACTATTCCTTTTGAAAAAGTTGTATCTGTGAGTCTATATAAACCTCTCATGAACTTTCTCCTAATAGATTTCATTGTTACTTATTAAATCGTATTTGACTTTCTGCGTTAAGAATCTAGGTCCTTTGTTCCCATTTTTATAATGTTATTGAAAATCTTGGGTCTTCATTCTGCATTCACCTTCTCATTTCTGCACATCTGCACATCCTGTGTAACATTCACAAGTCTTAATCTCACCCTGTCTTCCTCTCATCCAAAATTCAGTCCCCAACCCTCTGAATCATGATTGCAAGGCACTGTCCAAATACATTTCTCTTCCATCTCTTGTCAGAAGCTATTTATTTACAATTTGAAGGCCACTTGACTCCTAAAGACCCTGAGTGACTTTTAGTCCAAAAAGCAAGAACAATACTATAAAAGGCAGAAAAATTCATAATCAGCCCAAAGACAAACTTACCCACAAAATATCCAACAGAAAGGCTACTCTCAACCAGCCCCCGGTCATAAGAGAGAAGACAGGTCCTCAATGGCTTTCTCTTTTGTTTCTTCCAATGGTCTTTTCTCTCTCCCTGGGTCCCTTCAACAGGAAGAAATAAAAAGTACATCACTTCTAGTCTCAAGATTTCTCTTCCTCTTTTGCAAGAAGGAAAACTTTTCACAATTCCTTGCGGTATGTCTTAGGAGATTCTCAGTTATCCAGGCCAGACAGTAATTGTCTCAAATGTGCTTATTTCTTCAAATAAGGGTTTTTTTTTCCCTTTGAGGAAGAAGAAAATGTTTTGCTTGTCATCCAAGAAGCTTCATCAGTTCTGATGGTGGAAGGATGGAAGGATAGGTTCTGATTGGATGGTGGTTCCTTGCAGTATTTCCATAGCTGTGTCTTATTTTTCAACAGGAATCAGTAAAAAGAAATATTTATAAGTGGACTTAAAGTGTTGGAGTCCTTCTATCATTTTCTAAATATGGAACTCAGGAAGACATCTCTTTGCTTGAAGGACTATCCAGATGACAGATTGTTATTCAAATTAGAAATGGGATAATTTCTCTTTGCAGTCCTCTCGCTCAATTCTTGAAACGGAGCAGATTTGTTTGTTGGTTGCTTTGTTTAGAAAATTTATATGGCTGCCCGCTTACACTCAGTGACTCTGGGTGGCTTACAAAAAAATAAAAACCCATAAATAACCATGAAAACAATACCCCTCTGCCAGTGACAACAATCAAACAAATCATTGGATGGGCTCTGGCTTCCACAGGCTTGTTGGCAAAATCAAGTCCTCAGGACTTGCAAGAGTATTGAAGGGGGGGGGCAGTCTAATCTCTGCAGGAATGATGTTCCAAAGGGAGGAAACCACCACAGAGAAGGCCCTTCTTCTGGGTCCTGCAGTTCTGTGGTGGTATGCTACTGGATCAGACCGGTTCATTAGTAAAAAAAAAAAAAAAAGCCTACGGGCAGCTCAGAAGAGGAAAAAAAATCCTCCAACAATCAGCTGAGAGGAAAAAAGAAGAGAAAAGCACAGAATCGGCTCTCCCACTCGCCCCTGCACTTTTCTCTTCTGTATCCTCTCAGTTGATTGGCGCTGCAGATCTCAGTTGGTGTGGGAAAAGCTGCGCGCCGGCGTTAGGCAAAGCACGCCCACCAAGCCACACCCACTGAACCAGTGGTAGAACAATTTGAATCCCACCACTGCTGCAGTTGTTATTCAACCAGAGATATGGTAACATCATCTACAAGGAATTTTTTTTTTTTAAGTGCAAATGCACATGCGCTCCAAAGCACTTCTTGATAATCTTGGTCCTTCGTATCATATTCTTATTCTATCTTTTTTGTGCGCTCTCTGATTTTCTACATTATGGGATGTTTCTTGGCACTGTTCTCCTTCCACAAGCACCTCTTGTGTCCAGTCCAGAATTCTTCACCTTTACTAATGAGCTAGAGAGTGGACAATTTGTATCCAGTCTGTTCACTTTCTTTTTCATGAGGGCAATCTATCTGCAATTGCAGCATGTATAATTCATATGATCTTCCAAGATAAAAACAAACTTGGGCACCTTTTTTAAGTTATAAAAGCAATTCTCTGCATGTTGCTTAGATGAACAGATGAGGAGGAAAAGAGGGTCTCCTTGAGTCCTTTCATCAAACTCAGTGATGCGATTCAAAAATTTTTAGTACTGGTTCTGTGGGTGTGGCTTGTTGGGCGTAGCTTGCTGGGCATGGCAGGGGAAGGATACTGTAAAATCTCCATTCCTACCCCACTCCTGGGGGGAAGGTTACTGCAAAATCCCATTCCCTCCACACCCCACTAATCTGTTTCCCAACTCCGTACTCCTGTGCATGGCAACAAAAGAAGACCCAGCTGATTAGTTGGGCCTCGGGAGGCAGAGAATAGATGGGGGCATGGCCAGTCAGAGGTGGTATTTGCCAGTTCTCCAAACTGGTCAGAACCTGCTGAATACCACCTCTGATCAAACTCCAGTTTTTTCCTGTTCTCCCCATTTGCTTACTATCCTCTGTGAATTCAGTCTCTGAAAACTGGCTTCCTTGTGTCTCCTGAAACTTCCTTAATTGGCTCAGCAAAAAAGCAATGCTCCAATCACATACAATGGGCAATCAACAGCTGTCAAAGGTAGAAAGACTTGACATTACCTACAATTGAGTAATCCTCGTCCATGGTGAAGATGATGGAACTTGCCAGATGGTCAAATTGATATCTTTGATCAGAAAAAAATACATTAACTAAGTTTAACACTGACTTGAAACCCTTTACAGACTTTTCTGTGTGAAACAGAGAAAAAAATAAGCTTTTGATATAACGATTTGATTATTTGAAAAAAAAAAAACAATAGGTTATAGAAAAAAATGAAAGCCATGTTGTAACCATAGAGTAAGACATTAATTTACTTTTATACTTATAATTGCTGCAAAAGAAAATTGAAAGTTACTTCTTTATTTTCTTTCCTTTTTTCCTACACATTTGACTTAGTTTCTCATAGAGTTTATCCTTTTTTAAAATCCTAATAAAGTTCTTTTGAAAAATGAGAAATCAGCAACTGTCAAGAAGCAATCCAACAGCTACATATAATCAGCAGTCTCTCCGCCTCTTTGGTTCTTTCTCTCTCCTTTATTTTTTTTCCCTTTTTCCATCAAATCCCCACATCTTGTTCTTCCTGTTCACTCACCCAGCATTTATTTAATTGTTCATCCAAAATTGTATATTCTACACACTTCCAATGCATATACATTATTTATAATAATATAGTTCAGTTGGGTGTTAGAAATAGCCTTTCCACTATTAAAAGTACTCTGCTCTATGTCCTATTTTACATTTAAAAATTCTTATATGGACATACAAAACTGGTCAATAAATTTTTACAAGGGTTTTTACTATTTTACAAAGATGTGATTCTCTGTATTCACTTTCAGTGAAGATTCTCAAATATGTATGCTTGTTTCAATCTACATGTCAAAAATCTTTGACTAAATATGCATTGCTTGATTTGACATTTTCCTTACATTGTTGAATATAATTGCAGAACCAAAACTACTCTCCCATCAACACTTTCCTTTTTCCTATTATTATTATTATTATCACTTTTATTTCTCTCACCCTTTTTAACATTGACCTAAGAGGTTAACAGGGTCATTACTTTTAGCATATACAGTAAAGGAACCTCTAGTCTAGAGATTCTATTTATTTAATATTTACATAGAATAGGCCAATAGTAGTTTAGCA